ACTGTCATACAACATCAGACTGTCATACAACATCAGACTGTCATTCATCAACTGAGTGTCTTCAGTCAGAGGCTTCTTCAGATCAGTTGTAAGACAGACCTCTACAGGAGATCCTTCCTGCCCACAGCATCAGCATCTACAACAACTCTTTAATGAAGCCAGGATGATGAGTTACAACAACATTTAATTTACCTCTGGGATTAATAAAGTAGTTTTGAATTGAATTGGTCCTTCCTCCAGCAGCTGTTAGACTCTACAACCATCACTGCTCCAACAAACTCAATAAGGATTAAATCCATGCTGACCTCTGCTCAAACACACACTCTGCCTGTAACACTGTGCTGTCAACAGTCTGTCCTTATCAATGTTCCAACACATATTCAACATTATTATTGATATTGTTTATCTGATTTCTTTATATATTGTGTTGTTTATTAACATTTAGGAACTTTTGTGTGAAATCTTTTTATCTTTTTTATCTGTTGCTGCTGTTACACTTGAATTTCCCAGTTTCTATTTTATTCTAATTAAGACAGAGGTAAAAACGAGCAAGCGAACAAGCTGTAAATAAGATGAGCTCATGAAGGCAGTAGCAGGCAAATTAAATCCTTAGGTCATGTTTCAACGTACAGAAACAAACTTATATGAATGTGCTCCGTAGCACATCTATTCCATGGCTGCCCTCAAGGGTCAAGGTTCTTTACTGTCATTCCCATCACAAGTGGTACATGAGGTGGAACAAAATGGTGTACAGTGTCCCAGGTACATCTGTAACCGTAGGTCCAATAAATGTCACGTCTCTCAGTGAAGTCAAAATAGACAATTGATTAGTGGATGAATGTGGCACTTTAATTCCCAGTCGTTACAACCAGTGCTGCTCGTATGTTCCACAAGCCTACAAGACAAAGGAGAAGTTGACACAACTGAGTGAAAAGGGCCACAAAGTTCAGGTTCCCACACCACCACACACACGAGAATGGGTCAGGCTTCCTGGACGTCAAGACTTGTGGCTATCAGCTACATCTGGTGTCACATACAGTAGGTGGGCGGCTAAATAAGGACAAACGAAACAAAAAATAAAGTAGTTAGTCCGTCCTTACAAGACACACTCCCAGATCTTCTGGTCTACAGGCCATGCAAGGCCCAGGCGGACCACCAAAAACTATTCATTAAAGTCGATGAAAAAGGAGAGCAGGAAACGGGACATCTGAAAGTGACACGTCGCCACACGCACGTGCAGCTGGATGATGTAGAAAACACCTTAAAATCTTGTGTGGGCCACACACACACCCCAGCAGCAGCACGATCACCAGAGCTCTGACATTCATTTCTGACCAGGACACACCTGCTTGCCTTTCAGTCAGTGAGGTGGCGCACCAACTGGTGCCACTGGTTACACATCCAACAACGGTAAAACCAGAAGTGGTAAAAAGAAACAGTAAATAAGGATCTGAGATATGAAGTAAACACTAAAGAGCACGGTGTTTAAGGATCTAAAACACTGTACATGCTGATCAGTCCGCCCAGACCCAGCGGGCCTCTCGGTCCTCCTGGGCAGCAGGACCACCTGGATGTTGGACAGAACTCCTCCCTGAGTGATGGTCACGCCTCTCAGCAGCTTGTTATTTTATTTTTATTTATTAACCTTTAAGCAGGTAAATCCCACTGAGATCCCACATCTGTTTTGCAGTGGAGGCCTGGGCCTGAAGGCAGACCAACATGCAGGTTTTTAGTCTGGGGGAGGAAACCGGAGTACCCTAGTCCCTCGCTACTTCACGACTCCTTTATCATGGATTCACTCTGTCATGGTTTTTCAAAATAAGAGTGGACGTGACACAATTGTCTGATTGATGGATGAGCCATGGGTTGTTTATTTAAAATAAATTATTTTAAATGATTTTACACCATGTGTGCAGCCCACAAGTGCAGGGGAAGCTCCCTCCTGCAGCTGATCAGCTGATCTCCTTCTCTGCCACGCCCACATTTCTCCTGCTGCAGCTTTGTGAATGTTAACCCTTTACTGTCCAGATGCACCCATCGACTTTTGTCTTCCAACCAAAAATTCAAAATATGTCACATTGTAAAATCAGCATAATCACAAAATATAAAAGTGTTTAAAGTTATTTTTTATTACTTTAGAACTTCTATGTTCAGTTGTTTCAGTGTCACTGATCCAGAAGAACATTTGTGCTCCGTGCTGCAGAGCTGCAGCTGCATGACATCCTGTGATGTCCTGCTGCTCTTCTCTTCTCTACAAGTTACATTTAAATACTGTAACTTTTTTAATAATTTAAATACTGTAACTTTTT